TCTAAATCTAGAAATTATGACTCAAGAAATATAAAAGGTATAATGTAGAACCATAACCTAAAAATTGATGAATTAGTGATGAATATAGAACTTTTTTTTATATATATAAGTTTAGAGTAAAAATATTTATAAAAGTATTATGAATTTTTTTAAAAATAAGTTAATATATAATTTTACATGTGAAGTTTAAATCCGTGTATAATTATGCAATAACTTGGGAAAAAACAAATTTTAAGGAAAATCTGTAAGGATGAAAGTCCAAATAAATTAGTTAAGCATATTGATTATTTAACAAAATATAACATTGAAAAAATGATTTTGAAGTAAAAACTTATGTTATAAGTTTTATACTGTTGAATATAATTCTTAATACAATGGATAGATTAGACTGAAATTTTATAACAATTTTTTTATATATTACTTTACCTTAGATAAAAAATTTAGAGTAATTAAAATTTAAAAATATCATATAAAATTATTAGTAGCAAGAAGTGTACATGAAAAATATTATATAATTAGGGGCACGTTGAAGAGGGAGAGGGAGAGGGAGAGGTTCTTCTTTCCCTTTTATCCATGACATTCTTGTGTCACGTTTTGCCTTTGCATGAAGAAATAAGTTGAATGGGTTAGACTAAGCACATTCCATGCAGCTAAACTGGGTCGAGTCCATGTGTGTGTGTGCGTGTATAAAATTATGGGCCACCAATAAAATCAGAATGGATTGACTTGAGCCCAACGCGTACACGTGGGCTTGAGCTTCAAGATCAATAGGCCACATATATATGCATGGGCTAAGCGCAACCCAGATCTATATGTTTGGCACACCCTATTTTTGCAAAACGAAAAGTGTCATGTTTGGGTTCTTAACATGTGTTCTCCAAACAAAGCCTTAAAACAGTTTTATTGTCTTTAATTTTAAGTTGGGGATGTGTTTGGCAATAAGATCTTACTGCCTTTTCTTTTAGCTTTAATTTCTTTTTATTTTAGTATCTAGTTAAACAGATCCTACATAAATTCAAAAAATTCTGAAAAAAGTCAGAAACTATTTTTAAATTATTTTTAGGTTTCTTGTTTATTTTTTATAAAATATTAGATTATTTATGTAAGATACGAATTCAATATTAAAAATACTTGTTTTTAAAAAAAATACAAAAATACAAAAATATTTTATTTGAAAAATACAAAAATATTTTTTTTTTAAAGAATTTCACGGGTTTTAAAATATTAAAAATACTTGTTTTTAAAAAAATACAAAAATACAAAAAATTCTTATTTGAAAAATACAAAAATATTTCTTTTTTAAGAATTTCACGGGTTTTAAAATTATATTGTAAGATACTAACTCGATGTTAAAAAAATCATTCCTTCTTTGAAATCTCTAGAAAAATAAAAAAAATCCAAAAAAGATCCTCATCTCAAAAATACAAAAAATATATTTTTTTAATGTGCCTAAAACCAAATTCTAAAAGTTTTCGCACATATTTTCTAGATAATAAAAATTGTATTTTTATCATGTTTTAAAATACAAAATGGATATCCTAACTAATTTACAATTATCTATTAAGATTTGTTCAAAATTTTAAAAATACTATAAAAATTAATTTTTTTAATTCATATTCGGGGTATGAATTTGATAACGTGGTGCACCTTTCTGGTATAAAATCAAATGAATTGATAACAATAAATATTAAAAATTAGGTGTATACTTTATTATTTTAAAGTATAAAATTACACTGTAAAGTATATCCTAAAGTGTTAAAAATATAAAATATAAAATAAATATGATGCTAAAATTTAAACTTCGAAACAACTATGATTTAATCTAATAAGATGGAAACTTCCTCATGAATAGAGATCTTTTTTAAACCTTAGATGAGATCAACAAATAGAAACATAACATATTAAAAATCAACCAATCACGTGACTTATAATGATAAGATGTATTAGGGATGATGTGTTTTTTTTTTTGCATAACCAGTTTCTTTATTTAGACCCTTGCAGACTATTATGTCTTTTATTAATCATGATATTATATTATGATTTTTTTTAAATTATAATTTTTTAAATAATTTTAAAATCTTTTAATCCACGAGGCAGATGAATCATTCAATGTTGTGAAACTCAACAACCAGTATAAATTGCAAAAACTCGTTTTCCTGCTAATTTTATACTGGTTAATATGCACATAATTTCACATGTATTCTTATTGACTTGACACTGCTTTTTAATTAGTTGATAATATACCATCCCTTTATAAATTAAAATAAATATTCTTCTAAAACAAGTGTCGCATATGTGTGGTGTCGTGATAATCGTCCATCCTCTCAAAAAAAAAATATAAAGGTTTATTTGGTAAATATAGAGAGACAAGAAATTTTTGTTTCTTATCGGTGAAAAATTTGAATGGGAGTTGTTACCTAGTGTTCTGGTCACTGGGAATCCTAACTGGTATTCGAGATTGAATACGGAGAGTGGTTGCATAAAAAAAAGGTATTAGCATCTTAACTAAGTCTCACCTAAGATAAGCTGCATTGTTTTATTGCCTGATAAATCCCAAGGTCTTTCTGTAGTTTCTAGATGTCTGTTTGTCTATAGTTTAAGAAAAGTCATCATCCTTAAGGAGATCATTGTCTTATCAGGTAAAAACTTAACTGTTTTATGTTGTTAAAAGATATATCTTTTTAACATCGAGAATACGTTTTACATACAAATTCACAGTCTACAAAACAAGATATTTTTTTTGAAACTTTTGTAATTTTAATCAATGTTTTATTAAAGCCAAAATATATGCTAAAACATTATTTTTTAGTATATGAAAAACACAGTATGATTTTTTAGTTTTGAGAACCTTGGTCGCATGCCCCAATTTTTTTTTTTAAGTTGACAAAAACCAGGTATTTCAATACTGGATTTGTATCTTTTTTGGGTATAAAAATACAAAATATTATTAAGAAAAATTTAGTAAAAAAATACAAGGAAAAATTACAAATTTTCAAAAGTTTTTTTTTTGATAAATTTTTTTAGAATTGGGCCGAACTTGACAAGCATTTTAGACTGAGTCGGGTCTACCAACCCATTTAAATAGTGGGTCTTTCCACTATTCACATGCAATGTGAACAGTGATGAGACTCAAAGAAGAAGAATAAAAAGAGGAAAAAAGAGAAGGGAAAGAAGGTTGACCTGCAGTGGCTTACGGTGCCTCTGACAACTTTGGTGGTGGCAAAAAGTAGCTGTTGGCGATGGTGGAGGTGTCGGTGATGACAATTTTCACCATTTCTTCCCCTCTATTTTTTCTTTTCTTCTCTATCTCTCTCTCCTTTGTGTTTTCATTCTTTTCTCTGCTTCTTCCCTTTTCTTTTAGTCTTTTACCCTTTCTTTTTTATTTTTTTTTACTCTCTTCCTTTATATTTATAAGAAAAATAAGGGAGAGAGAGACACGGGCAGCCACTGTGCAGCCCCCAAAAAACCGCCCGAGGGGCACAACCCTTCCCTTTTCTTTAACACGTGGAAAGCTTTGGGCAAGTGGTGGTCCTTTGTCAACATCTTTTTTATGCTTTTCAGATGAAGAAAGTTAATAAAAACAGGGGAAAGAAAAATCTTCTTCTTTCCTTGCCTCTCATGTCCAGAGAAAGAAGAAGACTCACGGTGTTGTTCAAAACGGCATCATTTGGATGAATATTGTAAGAAGTAGTCTCCTTTTCTTTTGGGCAAACAATGTATGAAATGATGTCGTTTTAGATAAAATATGTCGTTTCATTTAAAAGAAAAAGGCGGAAAAAAATATCAGGGTTCGCATCGGTCCTCAATATATGTGATTTGTTTAATCGAGTCTTTAATTTCAATTTTGATTTTGAAAATCAATTTAATTGCATGTTTTCCAAATTTAATTGCTAGTCCTGAAGTTAATCGTCTTTTTCATATTGATCGTTGGTCTTGAATTTATGCAATTTGACCCTCAATTGATCAATAAACTTTTAATTTCTTTAATTTGACTTCTGATTCAATTTAATTGCAACTTTTCTATTTAAGCGTGTTTTTCATTTGGCAATTTAATTGCAACTTTTCTATTTAAGCATGTTTTTCATTTGGGTAATTGGTTTCAGATTTCTTCAATTAAGTCTTTAATTGTCATCAAACTTCAATATTTATACAATTATGCTCCTGATTTGACCAAATTAACTCCTAAAAAATATATTTTGATCTCAGAACTTTAATTTTTATCAATTAAAGTCCAAATTAACTCCAAAATTAACTTTTTTCAATCAACCCCTCCATAAATTCAATTAAACCTTCAATAACATTTAATTGAGTCTATAAACATCTGATTTTGGACTTTTCTTTCTCAAATTAAATTTTATTTGTCAGTCGGGCTCTCATTAGTCAATAAATACTGTTAAATTTTATTTTTGTAATTTTAAACCTCCTCAACTATTTTTTAATTATTTTATGGGCCCTCTAACATCCTCTTTTTATTGTTATATTTTTTTGTATTTTTTGTTTTTTTAAGAGAGAACTCAACTATTTTTTAATTATTTTATGGGCCCTCTAACATCCTCTTTTTATTGTTATATTTTTTTGTATTTTTTGTTTTTTTAAGAGAGAAAAAAATGAATTGAAAAATAATCCAAAAATAAGGTATGATATCATGATTAAGTAATATTCTGTGATTGCGTCTATAATATTTTTAATGTCACGTGTTCTGGATTTGTCCAACAGCTTGAGGTCTTAATCAAAACATTCACAAATTAAGGAAATTTTTTTTTATCGTTCTCTGTGCTCACCATGGAGTTATATCTAAGTATGGGTTGTGCAGAACATAGAAGAAGGAGGGGAAAAAAAAAAACCCTCTGAAGTCATATTAGGTGGTGGCCCATTAACATCTTAATGGCCAAATTTTAGGGCTTAAAAGCTCACAGCCCAATAAAAAGTTCAAATTGGAGGCCCATTGTTCGCCACAATTAGGCCACCACAATTAAGCTTAATAATTAAAAAAAAAACAAACAATTTAAAGTTACCAGCCACCAGTAATATTTTCCGCCACCAACCGCCGCTGCTCCTCTTGCCTCCTGCAGCTGAAAATCTACTACTTTCAGAGGGCGTCAAGGCGTGGAATAGAAGGGGAAAGCTCCAACCAAGGTTAATTAGTGTCTAAAATCTCCAAAGACCCCCACCCCCAAGGTATAATCTTGATGTTTGCTCTGAGTGTTTTGGGGGCTAGTAGATTATAAGATATGTGGTATTTTTCCTAATTTTGTTGATGAAATACGCTGGCAGCGGTCTTTATGGTTTGTTGGGGTTAAGGCTCTGTGTGTGTTCTTAATAATTCTTGGTGTTTAAATATACGGAGTTGTTGTATTTGTTTGGAAGGTTAAGCATATGTCCCCAATTTTAGAATTTCTTGAGTATCAAAAGGGATTTTTTGCCTTGGTGCAGTTTTTGGAAAAAAGCATAAGTTTTATTTAGCTGATTTCGGTTTTCAACATGCTCTTACCGTGTCCTTCTTGTTCTCGTGTGTTCTCGTCGGGGGCTCTGCTTCTTGTCGGTGGCTTTGAGTCTCTCTTGCTCTCATGACTTTCATTCTCACTTTATAAATTGAGTAAGTAAAATCTCTATCTCTCTTTCTATCATCATTGAAGGATAATCAAAACTCTATCTACTTCTCTGTTCTTTTCTCTATACTCTTCGATCATCATTTGTCTAATTCTTTTTATTAATATCCCTAACCTTTGGGAAGGGTAAAGTTTCCCCTTTCGAATTGTTGTTCTTTAAATAAACAATATATATGCGGATTGTGTAAGTCATTGTAAATGTAAATTATATGGATATATGCAATAAGCTTCCATCAATTGAAATCCTTTTGCTGGTTTGAAGTGAACAAACCACTTGGGTATTTCTGGATGGCTTGTAGTAGCACTTCCTCTCAATGGAGATGGTATGTTCAGATGGCCTGTAACGGTCCTTTCTTTTAATGGAGTTAGATGGCCATATCTATTATATTCCATCTTGAGGAGGTCAGTTGGAAAGACAGATAATTATTCAGCCATTTTATTTAATAGCTGCAAACAAATGGAATATTGCGCCCTTGACGAAGGAATGGTGTCTTGACCTAAAAAGACTTACTAAACCCAGCTTTAATCTTCATTTGGAAATTTTGAGGTTTTTTGTTCCTTTCAAATTAATTATTGGAAACTTGGGGTTGAGCTGCTCTTCTAATATGCTATTATCAGTGCTGTATGAGATTAATGCAATTATAGTTTTTTTTGGTTTCGTGTAATTATCCATATTGATAGTTTTATTAGTGAGAAAAGCAGTTAGCATGGCACAAGGAGATAATGACATGAGGAAGAAACCAAACATATTGATAACTGGCACACCCGGAACTGGAAAAACAACTACCGCATCTGCTCTGGCAGAGGCCACCCAGTTCCGCCACATTAATATTGGAGATTTGGTCAAAGAGAAGAACTTGCATGATGGATGGGATGACCAGTTTGACTGCTACATAATTAATGAAGACCTGGTAAAACCCTATATATTACCGTACTTCAAGCTCATTTCCTATGTTAACATGGATATTTGAAATATTAGTCAAATTTTCAGGATGTCCATTTTCTAAAATTTCTATTACCTTTTTGGGGCGGGAGGTAGGTGTGTGATGAACTCGAAGATATAATGGAAGAAGGTGGAAACATAGTGGACTATCATGGTTGTGATTTCTTTCCAGAGCGATGGTTTGATCAAGTTGTGGTTCTGCAAACTGACAATTCTGTTTTGTACGATCGTTTAAGCAAGAGGTAGTTCAGCCTATCAAACCCATCTTGAACGTCCTTAAAAGTACAGTTGTGTGTGTGTGTTTTGTAGCTTCTGCAGTACCAAATGTCAGGATTAATCCTTTTTTCATCTTCATTTTTCCTTTAAACAAAACAAAAGAGGGTACTCAGAGACGAAGATATCCAACAACATGGAATGTGAAATCTTCCAAGTCCTATTGGAGGAGGCAAAAGAAAGTTATCCAGAAGGCATTGTGGTGGCGTTAAGGAGTGATTCTATCGACGACATCACCAACAACATTGCCACTCTGACTCACTGGCTCACCACTCGGCAAAATGTTCCATAGTGGGATCCTCAGCTTCCTCTCTGTGCTTTTCTACTTTGATTACTACCATTTTAGTAAGATAACATATGGTGTGGACATGTTTTCGGTGATGTTCTTCCTTTACAGCAGTAGTAAGTACCATCTCTCGGAACCAAATGGCTGAATGTTTCCTTTGTATGAAATCCTTTTAGGTTATCAGTACACTTTTAGGTTATCAGTACACATAACCTTGAACCATTGCCGCTAGGTTATCAGTACACTCATAACCTTGAACCATTGCCACTCTGAGTCACTGGCTCACCACTTGGCAAACTGTTCCATAGTGGGATCCTCAGCTTCCTCTCTGTGTTTTTTGTTTTTACTTTGATTGCTACCATTTTAGTAGAGAGAACATATGGTGTGGACTGTAGTAAGTACTAACTCTCGGAGCCAAATGGCAGAATGTTTCCTTTGTATGAAATCCTTGAGGTTAGCAGTACACACTCATAACCTTGAACCATGAAGTCTCTGATAAGACTATCACATCCTTGGACCCATTAATAGGCCCCACCACCATTAGGGCACGAATTTCTTACTTCTAAAGCAAGTCTGGTAAGCTTTATAAAACCAGATCTAGAGTGGAGGAATCTTGTGTTTCCTCCTGGACATGAAAGTGAGACCAGCAATCAGAAGAGCCTTGCTTTTTCCCTGGGAATATATTCCAATTAATGAGCTTTAGTGCAAAGCTCAATTAATTAAAAAAAAAAACCTTCGTGGGTGTTGAACTTTTGATTTTCCACTTTTCACTTGCAATAGAAGGATCATAATCCATTTCAAGTGTCTTTGAGCTCAATGTGATTGATGATTGTTCTTTTCTCTCTCAAATCCCGAGTACACAAAGGCCACGTGCACCCGAACTAAACACACCGTTTCTCATCATGGGATCGAGATGAAACTTGATTTCCTAAAATATAAAATTGTACGACAAAATTTCGCATTAGATTGAGTTGTTCCCTTGCTGGTTTGATGCTTTTACCTTTTCAATTATACCATGCCTTTTCTTTGTTTTGTTTAATCTTTGCTCATTCACCTGCTAACCTTATTTTTGTAGCAGCAGCGTGGTGTTTTGGATCTTCCAAGGGGAAAACAAAATGTAATTGATGCAAGCAAGAGCACAAGAAGGACAACAAAATTCATTTAAAGATTGAAATAGAGTTAAAATATATATATAAAAAATCTAAAATCTTAATTTTATTTATAAAATATTGATCTGAAATCTATGTTTCTAGGAGGGTTGCAAATCTCTATATAGGCTTGAAATTGACTTTAAAACAAAACAAAAAGATCCCTAAAAATCATAAAGATCTATGATAATCAAGGAAAAATAATAAAACTAAATCAAATAGAATCTTCAAATCCTAATTTGAGCAAATTACCGCAATGAATAGACCAGCCAAGCTTTTCTTTTATACAACTAGGTTGTAATCATCCGTAAGAATTTAAGTCTGATTTAATGGTCATATAAAAAATATTTCTTTTAATTATTATGTTGGTTTGACTGGATCAGATTTTTTTTTTTTGGGTTTAATCTTCTCCCAAACGGGATTGTGTTTTTCCTCAAACAGCCCGGATCAATCGTAAATCCATGGATAGATCTACCCAACCTGTGAGGCTGAATCTTGTAACTATGATCGAAAAAAGAGATCCAGGGAGGGGGGAAGGTGTACGACCGAGTAAGGAAGCTAATACAGACGTTCATGCAATAACATTGCAAATCTTGGAGACATGAGTTTAATGTAAGTGGGATTTGTTCTCGGTTTGAATTCAAGAAAGGAGCAAGAGAGAGAAATTTAGGTGCTAATGTCGAATCGAGAAAGCTTGCCTTCAGTCTAAACTGAAAATGAAGACTCTATTCCTCCTTAATTTCTGATAGTGACATTTATTTTTATTTTTATTTTTATTTTGTGGTATCCATCAAGCAATTCGTGCTCCACGATTTGACTATTTGCATATCTTTCACATGCTCTGCCCCCTCCTGCCTCGCAAATTGGAAAAAGAACTCTTCGTTGAAAGCTTAGGGCAGAAAACGGGGCACCAACGATTCATCTAGCTAAGCTTTTATCGCATCAAGTAGAGGGAGCGGAGTACATGTATCACAGGGAAAACAAGTTGTTTTAAATGATGTAAACCTAGATTTCACACCAATCTAGTGAAGAAGACAGTGAGTTTTGCTCACAAGTTTATGTGTGCTCTCATCCTGTTTAAATAGCCAAAATCTCCTCGTCCTTCTGACCACCCATCTTGGATTGTCCTAAACAGCTCAGTTTCTGTAGATACATGCTTACAAAAAGGCAACGCTAAATTCCAATTCATTATTTCGTGCCTTGGATCTTACACCATGCAGGGGCAATTGTCTCAGCTATTGCTACTCCAGACTTTAATGTGAATTTCTACTCTACTGTGTATGTCACATAGATCACAACATCCCATTTATGATTTTATCAAAGAAAAGCTACCTAGCAGAAAGATGTAAAATATTCATTGCTTGAAGGTTACTGGGACGCGAGAACCTCGTTAAACAGAGAGAGACCCCATTAAAGATCTCCACAATTTGCTTGCATAAATTGTTGAAAAGTGATTTTGCCATCAATTTCAGTGCTCTTGCATTTGTGTGACCTCCACACATGATTCCAAATAAACCAGCTACTTCGAAAATAAAGTCATCAGATCAAACAACTATCACACTAAGAAAGATCCAAAAATGCCCAAATCACTGACCCATCCATTCCTTTTCTTGAAGGGAAAAAAACACAAGCAAGCCACCCCATCTTGCTCTCTTCTGGAATCTGACAACTCCAGATTTGGAGCAGAGCAGTTCCATGGCCTTTCATACACTAAAATTACTGCTTAACAATGTTTACACAACTGGTAAATCGCACTTATGAGCAAGGATTATTAGTGTAAAAGAAAGAAGACACCATTGACGCTAAAATACTGAACATACATCAGCCAAGAACACAGAAGACTAACTTGAATCACCGAAATATAATTAAAATTTAAAGAATTCTTAATTTCAATACCCTTTTTTTCCCTTTCATTAACCTACTCACAGTTTCAATCATTTTTTTTTCTCAATCCATAATTTGCACTTTCATACTTCTCAAAAGTTTACAAACCACAAAAATATAAAACCAAAGAGAAAAACAAAAAACAAACAAAACAGAAAGGAGAAGCTTCAAAAGGTCCACCTCCAAATCTTGATTCTTAGATCAACCTTACACTCGGACTTAGCAGTAACAGCAACAGTTGGTGTCTTACCTTTTGGTATAGACCCTTTGATCCCATCACAAGTAACTCTTATCCCAACTCTCTTTGTCTTTAATCCACCCACCTTCATTTTCACCTTTGTATCCATCTCAATCTTCAACATTACCGATCCATTTTCACTTTTCTTTTTCTTCAGATCCGATCTCAATGAATTTACTGTATCCACGTCAAGGTCATTCGAGCCTGAAACCACAACGTTTCTAAAACTTGTCTGGTTCTTTTTACTCAAGCTAAAAGCAGGTAAAGTACCATTCCCAAGGAACACATCATTACCATCAGATAATGCAGAAACAGTGAAGGGTTCATAGTCTAGCGAGATATGTGAATTGGGATTCTTGGAAATGATTGTGAGGTTAAAGAGAGTGGAAAGATGGGAACTGGAGGAGTCGGGAGATGTGGTGAGGTTAAGGCGGTGGATACGAAGGGAGGTGATGGTGAAGGAAGGGCGGTGAGGGCGGTAAAGGATGTAAAGAGCAGCACCGGCTATGGCAGCGAGGAGGAGGAGCAAGAGGATGGTGAGGATTGTCCAGAAACAACAGCAGCAGCAGATGTTTCGGCCACTACGGCTACGGTGGCGGCGAGTGTGAGGTTGTGGACGGTAAGGTAGGCGGGAAGTAGGGTTGTAGAGGTGGGATTTGTTTGTGGTGGCAGGTGGCGGGTTGTTTGTGGTGGCGTTCGTGGCGGTGCCATTGGCTGCTGGTTTTGAAGAAGGAAAGACCTTGTCTGACATTTTTCTTTTTCTTTTTTAGCCAAGCAAGAGTTGTTTGCGAATTGTGAAGGGAGAGAACGAGGAGAGGGGATGTAAAGGGAAGGGAAGACAGGGACAAAGCACCAAGAAAGGGAAGGATGCTTACAGCAGACCGAAGTTGGAATCTTGCCAAGCAAAGCTTTTGTTCTTGAGAGGGGTAGCTGCAATCTCTCTCTCTCACTCTAGTCTCTCTCTAGTCTCTAGTATTTACTGACTTGACTAAAGATTACTTGCAGTGTTTTCTCACCTTTAGGACAAGTTTCCATTTTGTAATCTTAATGGGAGGGACATCTAGCCAAGCTTGGTGTTTGGGTCTCGCTCGGTGCTTGACACGTGATGGTGGGTGGGGTCTTGTGATTTTTGCCGCCGTCGTCGTCCTATACGGCTTGTGGTTTAGTTTTGCAGTTTGAACATTTTTATGGCATGCCAGGGTGATTTGTATTGTTGCCATGTCTAATCACTCACCTTAAATTGACTTTTTGCCCTAATTTTTTTCATAAGCCTCGCTGGGAAATAGCTGTAATGATATGATCTTTGGTTTGAATCCATGATTTTGTGGTCTTTACTGAAGAGTATTATTCACAGATCAGCAATTAAGTTAGCCCATCTAATTCTAATGACATTCACAACCTGCCTTAATTTGCAATCAAACATATCCCCTCCTCTATCTACTGTGAATCCGTAAGTACGGGTGTTTTTCTATGGTGGAAATTGGAATTATTGTTGTTATTTTTTAAAATTATTTTTTATATTAAAATAATTAAAAATATATAAAAATTAATTTTAAACAAAAAAAATATTTTTATGAGCATGTTAACAACGACAAAGAGTTAATTATTGCAGTATAATCTGATTTATATGGCTAGCGGAGTGGTTTTTTATACTATCATGTTGAATTTGAACTTGAAGAAGAAAGAAGAAGAAGTATGACGTATAATTCATCCTAGAATCAAAGATTTTCTACCATCCAAATAACAAGAATTTCACCTACCTAACACATGAATGTTTTTCAATCTATCATGTTTCTTAATACGGATGATTTATCTTGGAAAAACCTTAACCATAGCAGCGTGAAATGTAATATATTCTTTCCTTCTTTATGCCATCAAACATATGGAGAAGAATCAAGTCAGTAGAGATTTTTTGCATTTAATATTTGGGCTTTTGCTTTGATGGGCGTTCAGATTTCTTTGAAATTATAATAACAATTGTTTTTCAAAAAAAATTCCAGTTAAAAATACATTAACAGAAAACTAAGCACTCAAGAAGAAGTCATCAAGAACAGCAGGAGGAGCAGTAGTGAGACCGAAGTTACTGATGGATGGAAAGCAACTGAAAATGGCAGCTAGAGATCTACCAAATCCATGCCCACGAAGGGCACTGAGAAACCACCGACGTCTCTCGAAAGTAGTATCAAAATCCTGGCATTGCTTCAGGCTGGGCAAAAATAACTTAATAATCCCAGACAGTCACCAGACACCAACTTAACTTAAGTCCCAAGTCAATAATTACCCCATTGACTATGCTGCTCTCGAGGTTCTATTTGCAAGGCCCTCTTGATTATTAGGTCAGGATGAGTGTCTCATAATTTTATATATATATATTATGACGGAAGCTTTCGTGTTCTTAGCAGAAAAGCCTAAGACGAATGACGAATTTTGTACTTAGCCAGGGCCACCGACACTAGCGTGAAGCTGTGGTGTTCAATCCTGTGAGAATAAAGAGAAACAGTGACGATAAGCACGACGTGTCAATGCCTCAGCCCTTCGCGGACTCGAGATTTTCTTTTCTTTTCTTCTTACGAACGAACTAGTGCTTTCAACTTTAACATTAACTTTTAAGAAGAAAAAAAAACAGAAGAGGTGGTTAATTCAATCTTTAAAAAAAAATTGAAATTATGTTTTTTTAGATTGTTTTTATACTAACTTAGTCAATCAAATGATGTCAAATTAATACTCACTTAATTTAAAATTATTTTATGTTAAAATAAACACATAGTAATTCTTTTATTTTTAATTAATTTTTTTTAAAAAATAAAATTAATTTTAAAGTTGTTTTCATACTAGCTAAGTCAACTATATCATATAAAATTAATACTCATCGAATTTAAAATTATTTTTTATTAAATAAACACATAAGTGATTCTTTCATATTTTTTACAACGATGATTTCTATATTTCAGGTTGATTGAAATTAGAGATAATTATTTTTTATTTGATTTGATTTTTATCAAAAAATAATCAAATTGCATTTAAAAAAATCAAAGTCAATTCAAACCGACCAGTTTCGATTCGGTTCAATTTTTTAGAATAAAAACTAGTTCAAACCAGTTTGGCTAAGTTTTTTTTATTTGGGTTCGATGTTCAAACCAGTTTGGCTAAGTTTTTTTTGTTTTTTTTATTTGGGTTCGGTTCAGTTTTTTCGGTTTTAATCTTATAAAATCAAAACTGAAACCGAACTAGTTAATTTTTTAAAAATTCTAATTGATTTTTTTTTACGGTTAGATTTTTTTTTTAAACTGGTTAATTTTTTAAAAATTTTAATTGATTTTTTTTATAGTTAGATTTTTTTGATTATTTTTTTAATTTTATCAATTTAATTAGTTTTTCAGTTTTTTTCTCACCCCTAATTGAAATAGTCTTTCAAATAGTATTTTAAAATTTTTTAAAACTTTTAAATTAAAATTATTTTTTATATATTTTTTAACATGAATAATTTTTTTAAAAAATAAAAAATATATTATTTAAATATATTTCTTAAGAAAATATATTTAAAAAACAATATTTAAAATTTCTTGACGTCGTGGCGACTACAAGAAAGTCTTGGGAAATGTTGAGCTTCAAATCTCATAAACATGAAGTGTTAGCTCTTATCACTAAATCGACTCTTGTATTAAATCTATCTAGTCTATGTCCATGTATGTATATTCTATTATAATGTGTGTAACAGTAAAGTAGAAGCATTTCAATTAAAATATTAAGGTGGTACTTAGGAATCAATTAACTATTAATTAAAATAATAGAGTGGCATATAACTAGTCGTGTCCATTTTAATTAATGTGCATAGTAAGTCCAGGTCGATACGAGGAAGGATACCTTTCATTGAATTTATGGGTAAAAAAGTACACACTCAATTCCCATAATACATTTGACGTTTTGTTCTTGTTTTTTTCCAAAAACTCGCTTGTCTTAAGAGTTTTGTCTGCATTTCGACTGTGTTTACAATGTTTTTTTTATCTTTTAATTTTTTTTATAAAAAAATGTTTTTATATATATTTTTAGATATTTTTATGTGTTGAAATCAAAAATAATTTTAAAAAATATTATTTTAATATATTTCTAAATAAAAATTATTTTAAACAGCAATTACTACTATAATTTCAAAAACATTTTTAACACGAATTGAAAATGACAAACTAAAAGAGAATTAAAGTGTAAATTAAATTTATATATAGATGTGGAATATTCATTTGTAAAAAATACATTAAAAAAATGTGTCTGTCGCCTTCAGATACTGTAAACCGAGCAGTAATATTGATTTGTGGGGCAAAAATATATTTGAAGATCTTTCCAATGCCTTACAATTGCATCTTATTTGGGGCTCTAAAATTTATCACAGGGCCTTCCCCTCGTATTTGCACACCACCACCTCGCTTCTCCGCTCACCATCACAATTTGCACGCGCGCTATATATATATATATATATATACACACACACACCTTGCCAGCTGGTTCCCCGCGTCATCTGGCTTTTAGAAAGAAAAAAATTATAACGCGCTGAAAGCAAGTCTAAGTCTAGGAATAAGTAGTTACTTTTTTTAATGTAATTTGAAAATAAAAGGATGTATAATAAAAGAAAATTTTATTTCGAGGAGTCCACCCAAAATAATAAAAATATTTTTACCTAAACTGAAATATTTTATCTCTCTCTTATATATCTTTAATGTTTTGTTATTTTAATTTTAAATATAATTTTAAATTTTAATTTATTTTAACATATTAATCTAAGATTCCATCACTTTAAGAATAAATTACATTGAGTTAAAAAAATAAGGGAATAAAAAAATTTAGATGGCCCTATAAAAAACACGGGTTGAATTAATAATCTAATAAAAAATGTTTTTGATAAAAATAATATTATTTTATTTTATATAATCGATCACCCAAATTAAATTTAAAAACTATAAATTGTAAAATAAGTATGAGAAGGTAATTACATTCTAAAATTTCTTAAATTGCATTTAATAGAGGAACGCTTTCATTAACAGGAAAAGTGCTTAAATTGTTTTTAATTTCATTTTAAAAATATTAAATTAATCTTTTTAAGTTGTTTTAAAAATGTTAATATTTTTTTATTAAAATAAACAAACACTGAAAATAACAAGCAGAGGACTGCTAACTATCATCTACCTTCTCCTTGTGCAAACACGTGGCTTGAGTTTTAAATTACGAAACCTGGTAATTTTGATGAAACACGTGGGTATCAATAAATTAAATTCTCGCGTATCTCTAGGATATTAATAAATCAACCGAGTTTTTGATTGAATTAAACAATTTTTTTTTATTTTTTTTTTACCAGACCCCTATCCACCCACCAGTCATATTTTACAATTATAATTTCTTATCCCACATAGCTTGTCTAAACTAAACTAAGAGTATTTATAATGAAAAATATTATATTAAAGAGTCAAATAAAAAAAATTATTTTTTAAAATAATATAAATATAATTTTTTTTATTATATACATTACAGTGATAAAAAGCTATTTAAAAAATAAGTTATATTTTAATATATTTTATATTAAATTAATTTTAATATAATTATATATCTAATTGAAATGTATTTTATGTTTTATAATTTTAAATATAGTTAAAAATCTGATGAGTATTTAGATAATAATAGTTTAAAGTTAGATAATAACAATTAGATGATCAGACATTAACTGTTTAAAATTAGATAGTAACAGTTGAAAGTTAGAAAGTAATAGTAAAACATTAGACAATAATAGTTCAAAATTAACAACAAACTTTCACGTGAATAATATAAATAAAAATATAAAAAAATTAAGTTACACAAACATTTATATATTTAGATATTGTTTGTCTCACGTGTTGGAGTGAGAAAATGAATTATTGGCCAACAACTATAAAAATAATCGTTGGTCAATAGTTATTTGTTTTTATCATTTCTACAAAGAAATGTAAAAATAGCTTTTTACGTAATAAATAGTTAAAATAATTATCTGTTTGTCTAATACATTAAAATAATAAAAATTAAAAATA